CATGGGTGTGAAAGTGTTGCACAGCAGAATGTATGCATGAGCTAACCTTCAGAACAGCCCATCTCTTTCTAACGCTGACCTTTTTCCCTGATGGTAGACGCAGGGGTCAGGATGTATACTCCCCAATTCCCAGGGATATGGCATTGCCATGACAACAGAAGCAGGACAGTTCAATTTTTCTTTCGTTTTGCCTCCTGCTGTTTTCCCAGAGGAGCTCAGAATGAGTAGTTACCTCAACTAGTGGGTCTCACCATCAGGTGAAACAAAGCCCACCTTCATGACATATTCTAGCCCAGATGGCCTCAACTTGCATACAGTATGTGCAGGAATAATATCAGAATCCCATCCAAAGGTCCAAATGAGTGCCACATTTAAACATTGTATAGTAGTGCTATAGTTTATGTTGAAGAGACATACAAATATTGAAGATGGTTAAAGGTAAAAGCGACGTATAGCATTATGTAGTCACATCTTAAGTTAGCTAATGTTCGCAAAATGCTAGCCAAGTGGCTAACAACTAATAGTTGATTTAAATTAGCTAAGTAAGTTAGCATTTAGCTAAGATTAGCTTTACGATGTAACTAGCTGGCTAATGATTGATGTCACTTAGCCTTGCAGATAGAATATCAAAGAACAGGCAAGGAGAAAGCTTCTGTCCCCAGTGGGAAGTTTGTTGCATTACAGTTCCTCAAGGTGCTCACAAGACAAAAAATAATTAGAACCTTAAAAATAGGTATTGCAATATCTAACAACTATATATAGAGAGAAAATATAAAAATATATTTAAAGAAAATAAATACTTTTGAAGTATGTACATGGTGATACAATATATAAACGATGGAAATATATGTATGCTACAGTATATGACAGAAGTGTAATGAATAATGAATAAATAATAATGATAGCTTATTTTTTGCACATTAACCACAGTAACATTTCAAGTGGAAGTTTAATGACAGTGTTTCAGAGTGTTTGACACTCTGAGGGAGGAGTTTGACAGCCATAAGCAGGAATGACTTCCTGTGGCGCTTGCTCTTGCACTGAAATACCTCCTGTGTTTGACCAGCTCCTTGTGGAGTGAGTGGGAGAAGACCTGTCCAAGATGACATGTAGCTTGGACAGCATCTTCCTCTCTGACACTGCTGTAAAAGAGTCCAGCTTAACCCCCACAATGTCAGTGGCCTTGCGGAAGAGTTTATTAAGTCTGTTAGTGTCTGCTACCCTCAACCTGCTGCCCCTGCAGCACACAACAGCAAACAGGAGAGAACTGGCCACCAGAGACTCATAGAACATCCTCAGCATTGTCCAGCAGATGTTGAAGGATCTCAGCCTCCTCAGAAGACAGAGACGGCTCTGGCCCTTCCTGTAGAGGGCTTGAGTGTTCTTGGCGCAGTCCAGTTTTGTCAATGTGTACTCCTCTGTGTAGTCCTTTGCAGTGTCTACACTGACCCCCTTGATGGAAACAGGTCAGTGGTAACTTGGCCTTCCTCAGATCCACAACCAGCTCCTTTGTCTTTTTCATGTTGAGCTGCAGATTGTTTTGCTCTCACCATGTGACAAAGGTGCCCACCACCGCCCTGTACTCAGTCTCATCACCCTTTGCTGATACACCCCAACACAACAGAGTCATCAGAAAACATCTGTAGATCACAGGGCTTTGTGTGGTAGTTGAAGTCTGTAGTGAAGAGGGTGAGGAGGAAGGCAGAGAAGACAGTTCCCTTTGGGGACCCAGTGTTGCTGTCCGGCACAGAGTAGACGCACATACTGTGGCCTGCCAGTCAGGTAGTTGACAATCCATCGCTGTCAGCTTCTCATCCAGCAGAACTGGCTGGGTGGTGTTGAAAGCACTGGAGATCATGACCCTCACCGTGATTGCTGGCTTGTCCCTGTGGGTGTAGATGCGATTTAGCGGAAAGATTATGGCGTTCTCAAATCCCAGTCGGGGGTGGTAGGCAAACTGGAGTGGGTCCATGCGAAGTTTGACAATAGCCACCAGACTGTAGTCCTTAGAGCCACAGGGACATGGTGTCTTTGGCACAGAAACAAGGAAAAATTAAAAAAGGCTCAGTTCTGAAAGAGGCAACTATATCATTCTCATATAGATTTATCTTAACTATCCTTAGGTAACCAGTGAAGAAATAATATAAGAGAACTTCCATATTTGCTTGGATAACCATTGGCAACAGTGCAGGGGGCTTGATGATCAAAGATGTTTATCCACATTTGTTACACTTGTAATTGCATAATTCATATTCCAGTCAAAGGAAACATCAAGTCTGCCCCAACACTAGTCTTGCTTCATCCACTCACTTCCGTGTGATCCTCTTTACCTTTAGCATCTAAGTATGTATGTCACCAACCGGAGGCAATGCAACAGCATGGAGGACTTGTCAATTTTCTTTTCTCAAACACGCATCTCAGAAAGCATCCCAAGATACACCTAATGTTTAATGCTTTTTATCATCACAACAGGTCCTTTTATTCACATAGTCAGACAGTTTCTTTGGTTCTCTGTCTTATTATTTTTAGGGTTTTGGCAGATTGGTTACATCTGCCTCGTTGTGAGGTGATGTGCAGCTTATTCTGGTTCAGCCACTGTGACCAAGCTTAGCGCTCAGCATTCCAAGACTGCTGTCATCAGCACAACCTCCGGTGCTACATCAGTGCCGTAATCAATGTGCCACCATGCCCTCTCGGAGAATTCTCCCACTCTGTAATAAAACTCTCTGTTCCTTTCTCTTACCCCATCCCTCTCCTTCCCGCCTCTTTGAATTTTGTCTGTGTGTGTTTTATAATTAGCTAATTATTTGATTGTGTGCACGAGCTAAGGGTTAATATTAGCACACAGAGGCAGAGTGCAGAAGACAGTGTATGGATTATCCTACATGTTGTTTGTCTATTTGTCTACCACCAATGATTTTCCTTCTGTCTCCCAGCAATCCATGATCTCAAGCAGAATATTATCACATTAGAAATGCTTATTTCAACCAGCATCTGATATGAATATCTGGTAATTTTATAAAATCTGATATAAGAGCAAATGAACATTTTAGAGTGTGAAAAGTTTTGCTATTTGGTTAGGAAGTAAGTGTGAAGCAAAACTCTGACAGACTCTTCAGGAAAATATGATAATATCTCCAAATTACTTTTAAGACGACCTTCAGGAATACAAATCATATCCTTGAATGTTTCCCCTCCCAGTGCATTTGGACAAAATGAAGCTCCACACGCTATTGGAGCAGCATAAGAGGTGCCAAAGGCAGTGAGAGCTGCCGTCTTAGCAGTTCACTCTGTTCACTGATATCGCTGCCACAGGACACATGGAGAAGGCACCTGCTAATGAGAACAGACTCCCCCATTGCACATATAATTAGAGGGTGGGAGTTCTATTTGAACTTTGGAACCTACTCAAATATTCAGTGTGATGGTTTGAAGACATACATTTAACTACATAATGACCATGTTGGTCTAAATATACAATATTACAGACAGATGACTGAATGCAACATTTACTGGAAGGTTTTGATAGAATACGACATGAAATGTCTATTTTGAGTTCTGTGTATGATGTAGGAAAAGCCTGTGTTTGACAAACAAGTAAACAAAAGATACTCAAATAAAGCTGAGTCCATTAATATTCTGTGGTTTTAATGCTTCTGGTTCAAGGCAGAAGGAGAATTCCTCATGGAGCTCTTGCATAATTATGGAGAGATTTAAATGTAAAGAGAAACATGTTTTTCCTCTGAGAGTAAAAACATAACAGAGTCATTTCATGTTGTCAGATTTCTTGGGTGGGTTGATGTGTCTGTTTGTTTGTTGGTTTGTGTTTTTTTCTTTTTTCTTTTTTTCTTTTTTATACCACTATGATTAAATCTGTCCTGCATTGACATAGTGTGACAAAAGCTTTCAGACATTTGCCCTCCCTGCCATCTGCTCATCAATTGACTGCACATGTCACCACATACAGCCGGTAACTTTGAAATGGTGTCTACTCAGAGTGACACAACAATCTGAATCTCAGTTTTCTGTACATCCTGCGGAATGTTGCCTTTAAATGAAGCAGGATGTGCTGTCAGCCATATGGCATGTTAGAGAGAAGACATGTTGAGAGAGGAGTGTTAATGATAAGACCTACAGAGTGGATTTATCCCTTCTGAACTGGTGTTTTTACACCTTGCTTATTACAACACCCAGATGCAATTTTCATGCTTTTAGTGTTTCGAACATGCATGCACTTGAGCATCTCCAACCAAAATGGAATATACTTTTATTGCCTATTTGGTCACCTTATCCTCATTCTGCCTTCTTTTTTTCAATGTCTCCTGAGGAACAAAGCTCATTATAAAACACTTCGCACCCTTCCTTCTCTTCCTCCTTCCTGTCTTCATCAGACATCCCGAGGGTGATTCCTTCACTTACATACAAACAGCCTGTAGACTCAGCTATCCCCCACTTCTCTCTTCACTATCTATCTCTTTTCTCTCTGCCCTCCAGTGAACATCCATCATAATTTGATAATTGCATTCCTATTATTAATGCTGTACTACTCTTGCCAGCTATAATATGAACATTGTTACTCTTTGATTGCATTTAGCCACCGGTCACATAACATCATTTAATGTAGAATGTTTTGATTCAGCAGTTGCTTGTAAAAGATGCCAAAGAAAAGCCTTTAAAAGAGGAACATGGTAGATTACTGTCACTTCCTGTTATGTCTCCAGTGTCATTTTGTCACATGGGAGAATGAATGAGGGATAGCATGAGGGCAGGCAAGATGCAAATGACCATCCATTTATATGAGTCACTCAAATAAAAGGTACAAGATAGTGGGCTATGCATAGGTGATTTCAGAAATTGCTGCTACCCAGACCAGACTAAATATAAAACACCTTAAGTGGCTCTGTGAGGGAAAGAAACAGAAGGGGTTCTACAAAAGCGGCTTAATTTCAGGCATTACATTGCCCTTTCTTACAGTTTCCCTTTGTTGTCTTTAATTTCAGATTGAACAGACCTCCATCTCCTTGAAGAACCATCAAAGACAGCATTGTTAACTCACAGTAAAGGGAAAATAAGTGGCAAGCTGAAATTAAAAATATTTCATGAGATGAAATTTTGTCCTTGGAATAATCAGCTGAAGGGCTATCATTGCACAGACCCTGAAGAGGAGCAACACGCAGGGAAGAAACCTTTGTAATTCCATAGATGGCCTCAGCACCCTGCAAGTGTTTTTGAGCTCGCTAACAGAATCATTCCGACATGAGCATCCCAACTGGTTTACAGGGACTGAGGGTCAATATTGACAGAGGGGAAAAGATTGGAAGCAAAACCCAGATCCAGTTCCCCCAATCTGGGGATGACAATGCCAATCGATTAGCTTTGATTGCTGATCAAGAAGGAAGAGGACTGATAGAGGATGCAGGGTACAACACAAGCTCCATCCCTCCTTTGGTCTCTCAGAGTGAATCTCCAGACAAGTTAGTGATCTGGGGATCTGAGCAGCAATGTGTGGAGCCTGAGCTCAGAGATTTCGAACTTTTGGAGTGTCAGGAGATACATGCATTCTTGGGAAACAGGGATCAGGAGGAGAATGAGGAAGAAGACGATGGAGGAAGTATCAGAGATGGAAAAGACGAGGGTCCCATGTCTATATCTTCAAGCTCAACTGCCAGCTCTTCTTCGACTGGAGTGAAGAGAAATGACAACGACAGCAACAAAGTGGAGAGCAGAATACAGAGGAGCAAAGAGGTGCAGAAAAGGATTGCCTGTCATAGCACTGAAGAGCTAGACACATGTGTGACAGGCTCAATAGAAAAAAGGGACTCCAGGTCAGGCAGAGCAGGGGATAGGGAGAGACAGAAGGGAGGTCTGAAAGAGTCCAAGTCAGAGACAAATGTGTTCGTCTCCAGTCTGTCAGCTGTTTCCCTCAGTGGGAGCCTGTCGAGCGCTCTCAATAGTAGCGAAGAAGTGCAATCTTTCATCTCTCTCAACTCCAAGACCAACCCTAATCCCAATACAAACAACACTACCTCAGCCCAGGCCAGAAGAAGGGCAGCCCCTGTAGATGCCAACCAGAACTCCCCACCATCGCATCCTCAGGAGAAACATGGCTGTCTTCAATACTACAGCCAGGATCAGAGACAGGAGGAGGGAAGTCAACATAGAAATGGATTGTCTTCTGATGGGGGGCTGGGCCAAAGGAGGAGGGCTGGATTTGAGGAGAGGGTGATGCCACCACGACGGCAACAGCTCGTCAGGCCCCTCTGTCAGGCAGAGATGGGAAGAGCAAGGAGCTTAGAGCCCAGTGGTCATCAAGCTGAGACAGAGCAACCTTGTTCCATGAACCTCTCTCCAGATTCACACAGTAATGGGTCAAACAGAAAGTTTACAAAATCGTCTTTACGTGAGCCATCAGATTTCTCCAACCTGTACACATTCTCACAGCTCAGACAGCCCAACCAGGCAGCCCAGAGGGAGGCTCCACCTGTAGAAAAACAGCCAGCTATAACTGCATGGCGAAATTCAAGTCCTTCCAATCCTTCCAATTTAGAGAAGAGACCCCAGACTCAGCTCACATACAGAAGGAATTGCTCCAGCCCTAACCGGACGGGAGTTGATTCCAGGTCATCTACCCCTCCCCACTCCCCTCTCAGGACACCCCAGGGTTCCCCACGCAGGCAGCCCTCCATGTACCTCGTTTCCAGGAATGTCTCTGGAGTGGTTAGACACATCCCATCAGGATGCAACCCTGCTGTAATGACCTCTGCTCAGGGCTATGGCAACAGTTGTATGAGAGCGCCATTCAAAACCAATATAAGCACAAGTGGAATCCCCAAAGCGCCTCTTAACAACCAGCAGAGCTCTAACCACAACTCCAGCCCCAAAGAGAGCTCCCCATCACCTAAACTAAAACCTAAAGGAGTGCGTCCCAAAATCATCACCTATGTCCGAAAAAATCCTCAGTTTAAGCCCCAGGCTGCTGATGGACCTTATCAGGTATCTTCTCTACCATCCCGGCTCTCAGCATACGGACACGGCCAAGCACCCACTTCCTTCAAAGACACCCCTAAAGACCCCTCCAAGCCTAGCGCAGAAACCAGAGGACCCCCAGTACTCAGTGCCTCCAATCTGCTTTATGACAAGTACCGCCAAGAGATGCAGACAAACATCTTCCCATCAGGAATGCTGAGCAGGAGTATCAGGCCCCCTGGACACACACACACTGTCCCCCCTGTGCACACACATGCCGCACCACATGCACACACACACAGCCACACGGCACCCCCAAAATTGGGCAGCAAAGCAGATAACTTCTACGGGGCGCCATCAGAGGTGAGTATTAGGTGCAGTCTTTAGTATTTGATTTCATGGTTGTTATTATAAATCTGTCTTAGAAGAATGAAGCTTGACTAAACTAAGAATAGTTTGGTATAGTGCTCATTAGCATTCAACAAAATATTTTCTATCATGCTGAGATTGAGCACAATCCACTATCACAGCACATTCACACAAACAGTGAAGAAAGGACGGAAATGTAATGTAATTATAATGGACAGAATTTCTTTATGATATATAATGTTATACACATTTAGTACAAAGACAAACCTCCTCTGTTACATTTGTTGACTCTACAAATTAGTTTTGCTAGCTGATGTCCATAATTCCTATCCCACAGTAAACCATGTATAATTGATCACAGCTCCTCTGCATTTTATTCCCACTCTCACAAGAGCTGCTCATTATCACTTTAAAATCATTCCTTATTGATTCTGATTAAATTGCTTCATTTGGCATTCATATTCATACAGCATCAAACACCAGCATGTGGAAATAAATAGTTAATGCATTTTGAAGTACAAAGCCCACAGGGAAAAGATGATTCTCAATGCTTTGTATGTCACTGCATGTACGTTAGCATTTTGTCCAGCACACAGAGTAATGCCGTTGAGAGACAGCACTTACTCTTGAATTATGCTGGTGATGTTAAACAACTCAAATATATAGTTCTCAGTTTCCCTACAGGTCTGTGTTACGTTGTCCTTTGAGTTTTTACTTAATATATATCTTGCATAAATCAGATATGTGGACACATATTGCAGCCATGCTACCAAGATAGCAGAAGGTGGTAAAGATTATTGTTATCTATTGCACATGATCAGCCATATCATATTCTAATTATTTGTTTTGTTGATACAAATGAGAGACTGAGAGATGGATATGATGACAGATAATTAGATTACAGGTTACATGAAATGTTTTACTGGCCAGTCTGTCCACGATATCACAGGCAATATATACAATATTAAACATGCCGTGGCAACCAGACCTTGCTGGTAAACACATTAACATGCAAGTGAACGCCAGCAGAAAATCCCAATAGGTGCTCATGGACATTACATGACACACACTATTTACATCTGTGAAAGCTTAACAGTGTTTTCACAGCCATAGCAAACACGCCCTCAAGGACAACTGATGTGGTCTCTGTGGTCTAGTGTGATTTCAAATGATGCATGCTTCATGACTCCAGAAATGTTATCAGTCAATTACCTGCTAGTATTTTAAAGTTCATTTCATTATTTTTGATCTTTTAGGTGGGAAGATCTGCCAGTTTTAAAGGGAGTACTGCTGAGGAAGCGATGCAGGTCCGGACAGCCGCTCAGGCCGGAGGGAGTGGCAGTCTGCTGCGCTCTGGTAGAGGTCTGCGTCTGGGCCTTGGAGCTGTCACCCGAACGACTACGGGATCAGCTAAGGGCAGAGGACCCAGTCAAGGTCAGAGGTCAACACTGGTCTTCAGCCAGCCAGTCCAACCTGTCAGTCCAGCAACCTGTCAGAATAGCCAAGATGCAGGTAAATAAAACATTTCCTCACATGTTTTTGAGCAGGTTTACATTTCCTCACAGAAATCCACCAGAGTGGCAGATGGAGATGGCCTCTTTTGAGCTACAGTACATGTCAGATTTTATTTCAGCAACCCAAAATTTGACACACTAGAGAGCTACCTTATCTTTCTTCTCCTCTGCAGCAACGAGCAGTGGTGGGACTGTTCCCTCCTCAAATTGGCGTGAGATGAAGGCAGCTCATTAAAATGCATTCGCTGAGATTAATTTGGACTGATCTGATTGGAGGGCTTTAAGAAATACTCTGAGGGGACTTTTCTGCTCCAGAAGGCTGCCATGTACAAAACAAAATAAATAAATAAAAGCTTGCTCACACTTGGTCTCCACACACAGTGAATTTCTAATTCAGATGATTCAGATACCACCTCTGACTGCTGAAGTCACATTTACATTACAGCTCGACTGTCGCTGGAATATCGAAGTATGAAATTTGCTCATCGCCCTGCACACTGCTGGAAGGCTACGCCATTTATCACTTCCATGCATATTTGATCTGCTCTCTCCCTGAGTGCGATAGAGACATACATGTGCATGTGTTCACTCACAGATACACACACATAACCCAAAACTGCACATACAGAATTGATCAGCGTAGTGTTATGATGTGCCAGGTTTCCTTATCATAATCGCTATTAATACATATGTATGGTGTCTCAGTGCTGCTTGGCCCTCTGGGAAATGCAGACTTTGAAGTGCAAAGCAATTAACGCTTAAGTAACGTCAGTATCTTCCTGCTGGTAGGATCTCATCTCATCCCTGCTGTGCCCTACACGCACTGCATGCATAAACACTACCTAACATATATGAAGCATTGGTCAGCATTGTGTGTATCAGTTTCTGTCCTTGTGTATATGAGCTATGTAAATAAGGGATTTCTGGTTTCTTTTCATTGTTGTTTTTATTGTCCCGGAGAAATCTGATCCGTAACCCTTAACAACGTGCCAATGTTTATTCTTCATCACTGTAAATGACAACTTTTCAGGCTTTTGTGAAGAGAGATCACACACACATATTATAGTAATTACACTGTATAGCTCTCTATAATAGTCAAAGTACTGCTCACATCTACTCATATAATTACTGTGTAGATTTTAAACTCTGCATTGTTATGATAATATGGATCATCCACGTTTGTGTTGAAGCTGCTGTAACTTCTGCATATTGAGGCGCTCACCCTCCCTTCCTCACAGCCATGAAGCCTTTTCTCGAGCACTTATGCAGAATGCACTCAAGTATCACATTTAATAACATGCAATTTAACGCCTTGGGGGAAAAAATCCATGCAGGTTGTCGCTGCTCACCTTGGGTTGTAATTAAAATCGGTTGGTTGTTATAGTGCTCATCCCAGCCGCCTGTCTTATTGACTCTTCTGAGCCCAGTTCACATAATTCATCTCAAGTTAGGATGCTGTCCTTCAGCGAAAGCCAATGGATGTTTTGAAGATGTTTCCATTTCTCAGGGATAAGAAATTGCAGGTGGTGTTTCAGACCTACGGGCAAAGTAAAGTGGTTTTATTCAAAGCTTTGGAATGGCTAAAGGGAGAAAACTGCAAGCCCAGGAAAACACCCAGGGTTTTATGATTCATGATGCATTTTCAAATTCACCCTTCAATGAATTTTAGTCCTATTTTTTAGTACTTTATCAAGTAAAGTGTATTTTGCAGGTGCAGAAACAAAAAAGTGACAAATGTAAGTGAAACAAAAAGAGAGAAAAAAAGTTATTTTGGGGCTAAAAAAATACAGAAAGAGAGAAGGGCAGTCAAAGTCATATCTCCTTCCTTTCCCCTTTTAGATTCTTATGAATAATGTGTGTTTTCATTTAGAAGGAGCATCGGTCTGTGGTATCTAGGCTAAGGTGGATGTTTGTCAGGCTCTCTTCTCTCCCTCGTTTCTCAGAGGGGATGAATGGAGTGGAGGGGCAGGAGAGAAATTAGGTCATTTATCTTTAATGATACTGACCTTCTCACTCATAAGGAGTGAGCTCCAATCTAATAAACACACCGCATGGCACACAGGCAGATATTGAGGAAGGAGGATAAGTTATAAGTGTGAGCAGCGGCACTGAAGATGCTGGAGGGGGCTTACACTGGAGACTTTTCTCCCTCCTTCTGTCCCACTTTGTTTCTCTCTACCAATAGTGCTTGTATTCTGCCTCTTAGAGTTTTCTCTTGAATTGATGTGGCAGTTACCCTGTAGCATGCACTGGAGCACACAGCTGTGCCAAATGGAGAGGAAAGAAGGGCTGCCCACCTTATCTCTGCAGCCAGCAGGGGATAATGCTCTTCTTCTGCCCAGGAGCTAAACCTTGTGCTGCAGGCTGGGGTAGCCAAGATGGGTCTTCTATCCAAGGCATAGGGATTTACCCACTGCCCACTGTGTGTATGTGTGTGTGCAGCCTTGGTTGTTCATGCCTGCACATTTCATCTGTTTTGCTGTTGGAAACCATAGATTACCGAAAGGGAGGATTTCCCCCCATTGCTCGCTGACAATAGCTGCCACTATGGAGCTATGATTACTTTTTTATCCTCCCTGTCTCTCTTTGATTCCCTGTCTTTTCTTTCTCTTCCTCTGTAAAGAGGTTTTCTCTCCTCTTATTTTTCTTCTTTCTTTTAATCCACCATTCTTTTTAGCTTTCTGGACTTAGCCTTAAGTTAGCCAAAGGATGGCAGAGCCAGCCTTTGTGCACTTTGGTTAACTACAGTGAGAATCACTGTAATACCTTTAATAACGAGGAATTCCTGAACATATAATGGACTCTAAACACATGCAAAAACACTGTATGTGTTGGAAATTTGTGTCATCTATGTCCTAAATTGTGGGTGTCACATTAAATGTTGTAACAGTGTTGGCATCAAAGGATTTGCTGGCGTCTAGCCCAGCCTGTAAGCACGGCCAGAGCCAAAAGCAGCTGTTAGCAGGTTGTTGTGTATATAGCTCTTATATTTGCTTGCTCTAGCTGTCGTCATAACACAGAAAACTTCCTGGTGCCCACTGAGACCTTAGTCAACACAGGATGATGAATGATTCGCTGGGGAAATAAAACATCATGGCTATGCTGCATTAATGAGTTTACAGTAGTTACTCAAACACACACTTCCTATTCTTGTGGCGCTGTCCGTTCAGCACCACATGCTGCAGCATATGTTGAAATGCAGGGAATGATGAGTTTGTTTAACATTGTCTTCATAGTGTCTGGCTGTTGCCTATATTCTCTGTCTGGTTCTGCTAAGGACACGATTTACACCCTATGAACAGCTTTCTGATTTAAAAACATTGTCTGATAATAAATAAAAAACAACTTAACATGATTCTTTATTTTGTGCTTTACTAACAGACGACCAGGTCTTCACCCATCATCATCCTGCTCCTTCTCCAGCGACAGCAGCAGCCCAGCCTCAGGCCGCAGCCTCCAGATCTCTGCTTCCCAAAGCAAGTCAGTCGGGCCTGCGCCCCCCAGGCTTCAGCTCCAGTCGTCTCCCTGCGGGCCGCCTGGCAGCCTTTGGCTTTGTCAGGAGCTCCAGTGTGTCCTCCGTCTCCTCTGCCGACAGCACACAGAGTGACCCCTGCAGGACAGCTCACCGTAAGTCCACGCAATACAATCTGTTTATGCTACCCTTTGTGAGATTTGAATCTTACAGATTTTCCAGCATGTGCTGAATGTTCTCGTCTGTCTTTTGTTTGTGTACTGATGTTTATTTGTTAATCTCAATGGTACACTTAAAAACACCTAGTTAACACTACATCATGAGTACACTATTACCACCACTATACTGTCTTTATTGCTGTATTCCTCCCATGAATATAGTTTGCATAAACAGCCCCCTCCCACATTCATTATGTTGCAGTTTGCTTTCTCTTCCTGATCTCCACCCCGCTTTGAATTTATTTTTCACTAGGTATTTTCATACACAAGCTCCAAGTCAATCACAACATAGAGCTGCAGTTTTGCAAGGCACATTTTCTATACACAATATATGAGATTTCTGGCAATAGACACAGCAAGTACAATTATCCAATAGTGAATAATTGGGTATAATGATTAGATTAAAACTTAGATTCATTCACTTTGTATTCAGTCATTTGTTTATCCATGGGTCACACATGATTGACCCAAAAGGGGGCACTATTAGTTAATTCAAATTATTAAAATTAAGACTAGAGGTCAGCATTGTGACATTGTTACTAATAGCTAATTTGCTCTATTCGATTCATGAATAAAGGGGGATGACATAGTGCTAAGTTGGTGTGATATTACGGACAAGAAGGCAGGATAACTGTTGGGGAGTTGTGAATTTAGAAATTCAGAAAAGTAGCAAATTGAATGTGAATTTTAAAAAATTTACTGCAGCACTTGTAATGCATTGATTCATATGCTGAACAAGACATGAGACTTCCCCATTTGACAGCTCGGCTTGTTTTTTTCTTGAATGTATGTAAAAATAACTCGTAACTAACTAGGTCTGTGCTGCATATTCAGTCCGCATTAAAAGAGATAATAGTATAGAGTGGATACCTTTAATTTTCACAGTCATGGAGAACTGGAGGTGTGCTTACAGTTGTGCTTTCAATGCTGCTTGGCAGGCTGGTCGGTTAGTTGGCTGAATTTGTGGTAGCTGCATGTGTTTTTAATGTGACCTACATAGCAATGCTTGTTCTTCCTCTCCCAGTTACAGTTGACGTAAGCACCTCCAGTCTCACGCACGTCAGGCCCCCTGTTATGTCATCACTCCTTTCCCCCATCCCTCCCTTTTGTATTTATACTTTTTCATCCCTCTTTTCTTTCTCCCATTGGTTGAAAGTGAATACAAACTGTGCGGTAGTGTGGGGGTAGGTATCTTTTCAGCTGTGAAACAGGGAAGAGATGACTTCTTGGGTGTTTATTTAAAAGAACGTGGCATAAATGTGGAGGTTTTCATTTTTTATTTAATATCTGTTTCATTAAGGCCTAGACCTTGATTTAAAACATTGTAGAAGAAAGGCCATATCGTCCATTAGCTGGCAAATCCACTATTAATCAATGAGTAGTGCTCTAATTGCATTGTGAGTATTGACCAAGTGTGTTGGCATGTGTGTGTGTGTGCAATAGAGCACAATTAAGTAATTTGGAGAAAAATGCCAAACATGGGATTGAGACTGAGGATCAGAGAATGTTAAAACTTGAACTGGAGCTTTGGGAAATCGTGATGGCCAATTTTACTCTTTTGTGACCAAACACCTAATCAATTGATTAAGAAAATGATCAGGAGATTAGTACATAATAAAAATGATTGTTAGTTGCAGCCTTACTGTGTAACTATAGCAAGATGCAACACTCTTTTTCGGTTTTTCTATTGTTCTCTACATGAACTGAATCAGCTGTACATGGTGACACAAATGTCCACTACTCTACTCTAAATTTTTTCAGTCCAGATTTTAAGCTCTTACCTCAAACTAAATTTCAATACATCTTGCCACCAACTACCGTCGTTTCTTTTTTGGTTTGTCGTCGGAGACATATGCAACATGATACGCAGTATTGAATTTACCCCTCCCTTTCTTCAAGATAATAGCTTCATTTGTACAGTGCTTTTCCAAATAAATTACTGTGCTAATATCAATATCCGGAATAAATGAAATGAGATTCAGACAAGAGAAAGGTCTCTGCTGCACCATTCTGGCCAAAGAACACATTCTCAGCAACGCACATCAAACTTAATGTGACTCTTGTGCATCCACTAAGATAAATATACAAAATATAACAGTGCCCTCTTGTTTGTTAGTATCTTATATATTTAAGCAGCTGCGGATATTAATTTGCAGATTCACTCCAGTCATGTAGCACCTGTAGTTCAAACCTCTATAGGCGTTTTGACCCCTTTATATTACACCTGTAAACACACACGCAAATTCAAGAAGCACAGGAATACCTGCCAGCAGAACGCAAAGACTAGAAGTTTTAAAAGTAGTGCCTGCAGCAGAATGTTCCTCTTCCTGCTGCTGCTCAGAGCACGGTGAGACCAAAATGAAAGCAAGGATGATAGACATGAGAGGCAAAAGATTAAGGGCCTTTGATGTTCATTCCTGTGTGAGTGTGTTTGGGTGTGTACGTGTGTGAGACAGTGGGAGTAGAGCGAGCACGAACATTTACTTCCAGTTTTGACTCTGTGTGATGCTTTGACCTTTAGCTGCGAGGCATTTGAACTCTCGGCTCTATTTGAACCTTCGAGACTAAAGTGAGCTTGACTGTAGATACTGCTCTCTCTCTCTCTCTTTCTCTCTCCCAGTGTGTGAGCATTTGTTGAGTTTCAACCAGAGGGTTGCCTGTTGTCCTTTTGTCACACTTGTCTTTGGGAAATTGGGAAAACTGGGTTCTTTTTTTTAAAGCTTTAAAACTTTGTCCTGTCTTTTCTGGACCTGGATCCATTCATCATACATTTGACTGTTCCCTGCAGAACCAAGTCAGAGCTATAATCTCAAACCTTACAGTTTGGATGCTAAGGAATTCTTTTTTTTTGTCCTAGAGGCAATTTAGAAAAGCTGACAAAATAGGCGTGACATTTCGTTCAAAGTTAAGCCCTTCCCTGATTTGAATTTTAGATATTGTCAATTTCCAAAAGTAACTGTATTTTGAAGTCCTTATGTAGCCTGAGGCAGAATGTGAAACTGGAGTATGTTTCTGAGTGACACAAACCCATTTGTAGACTGATGTTGTGATTTGCAGCAAGATGGTGAAATCCCGATGGGGACAGACAAGTTCAGTTGGGTTAAGTCGTGCGAGTTGGTAAACAATCTTCAGTTTGTAATTTCCAAAGGCTCTGTTTAACCTACAATTATATGCATGCACACAGGTGAGTGTGTGTCAGTACGGGAAGTGTGCATGTGGTGTTTCTTCATGAAACCTGATTTTCCTCTACCACCCTGGGATCTCTCCCCCCTCTCACCACCCTCAAACTGAGATCAACGAACAGAGAGATTGACAGATGAGGTCTCGCACACCCTTCAATCAAGGATGTTGGGGGAGCCGCAAAAAACCAAGTACCTCCTTCTGTAACTGAGAGAAGGAAGTCCAAGCTCAATTGCTTGTTTTCCTCATTGATCAGCAAGCAAAGCGGACTCCATTAGGGCTCTGGATGATACAGACTGGAGAAATCATTAAGGAATAGAGCGATGGGGAGGAAAGGATTGCTGCGCTTCAGTAAAGTGGGTTAGAGGAAGTATCCCTGGAGTTTAAACTCCCCGCTGTCGTAGCTCGTCGATCAATGTGCTCATGTGCAATTGTGTGTCTGTAGAGAAGAGAATGGAGAGGAAGAGGAATAATTTTGCACGGACAATATTAGGTCATCCAAATTACACACTCCCTTATTCCTTGTATGCCATGCACTTAGTCATGGTTTTATTTTAGCAATTTTTGAGAAATCAACCCTTGAGTATTCTTCCGATCCTGATGGCATTAAAGGTCCAGTGTGTAGGATTTAGTGGGCTCTTTTATTTATTTATTTGTTTTTTTTAGTTATTTTTTTGGCCTTTTTATTGCCTTTATTTGATAGGGACAGCTGAAGACAGACAGGAATTGGGGGTAGAGAGAGTGGGGATGACACGCAGCAAAGGGCCACAGGTCGGATTCGAACCCTTTGCCGCTGCAGCAAGGACTCCGCCTCAGTACATGGGTCGCAAGCTCTACCCACTGAGCCTGGATTTAGTGGCCTCTAGTGGTGTGATTGCAGATCGCAGCTTGCTTCATCCTTCACTTCCAAGCACAAAGGAGAAACTATGGTGGCCACAAAAAGTGCAAGTAACATAAACGCTCCTGTCTACAGGCAGTGTTTGGTTAGTCCGTTCATACCAATTCCTATACTGATTGTACACTATGCCTATAAATGTTATATTCCATTTCAGCCTGTAAATCCTCCTTAATGTTACACACAGGACCTTTAAATGTAATTGTAATTGTTTGTGGTGCTCACAGCATTGAAAAATTACATTTTAAAAATTCAACAGCGTAATCTTTTCCCAGATACAATGCCCCCTCACTGAACACATTGTTATATCAATAGTTTTGTCTGGTAGAAAGAAGTTCTAATACAGACTGTTGCCATCTTCTTCTGTTGATTTTCAATGCTTAAAAAAATACAAACAAAATTCAATTCCATTCCATTCGAAGTTTATATCTAAATAAAAACTAGTGAAGTAAGACCTAAACTATAACTTAGATACCACTAGAGGTAATACACCTTTTTGTATTTTGGGTGTACCAACCTTTTAATATAGTTGCAGTATTTTATTGTGAAGTAATATATACTGTGAATTACAAATACAGGAGCCCTAAAATGGAAACACACAATTACTCACAAACCTTCACACTAAGGTAGTTCAATGCCACCTTGGTCAGGTGACACTGAGCTAAACTCAAACGGCCTTGATTGATTCTAATGGCCTGTTTGCATATATGTATGCATGCAACTGTGCGTTTGCATATAAGTATGCATGCAAGTGTGTATATATGTGTTTGTCTAGCATTTCGGGGACTATAGGTTACTCTATATGACATTGATTAGCCATTAACCCAATCCTCCCTTTAGCCCAGTCGCTGACATCCCCTAA